TTGGTACCATGTCCAAGAATTTTACAAGATACATCAACAAATTGCAGCTTCCTGCAATGACACCAGCGGAACTGCAAAAAACTGTGTTACTTGGAACATCGAGTATTTTAAGAAGGTCCTTGGTTGATACCTAGGACGCTGGCAGCAAACCGTATCAACCATTAGCACCAGTCAATGGTATTTGTGATGCATTTTTAAATGTTCAGTAGACTGGGTTTCATGTTTAATGAATAAAAGAAATAATAATAATAAGAGGAGGAGGAGGAGAGAGGAGGAGGAGGAGAAGGAGAAGAGGAGGAGGAGGAGGAGGAGAAGAAGATGATCATACATCTTAAGAAGGTCCTTGGTTGATACCTAGGACGCTGGCAGCAACCCGTATCAACCATCAGCACCAGTCAATGGTATTTGTGATGCATTTTTAAATGTTCAGTTGACTGGGTTTCATGTTTAACGAATAAAAGAAATAACAATAATATTAATAGGAAAGGAGAAGGTGGAGAAGGAGGAGGAGGAGGAGGAGGAAAAAGGGAAGAAAAGGAGGAGGAGGAGAGAGGAGGAGGAGAAGAAGAAGAAGGAGAAGAAGAGGAGGAGGAGGGAGAGGAGGTGGAGAAGGAGAAGAGGAGGAGGAGGAGAAGAGGAGGAGGAGAAGAAGAAGAGGAGGAGGGAGAGGAGGTGGAGAAGGAGAAGAGGAGGAGGACGAGAAGAAGATTATACATCTTAAGAAGGTCCTTGGTTGATTCCTAGGACGCTGGCAGCAACCCGTATCAACCATCAGCACCAGTCAATGGTATTTGTGACAAATCTTTAAATGTTCAGTTGACTGGGTTTCATGTTCAATGAATAAAGTAGATAATAGACATTGACTAATATTGACTATTAATTTAATAGTTTAACATTAATTTAATATTGACTATTAAAATTGACTACTAATTGACTACTAATTGACTAATATTTAATTGATAATAATAATTGAAATAATAATGACAACAACAACATGCTATATCTTTTATAGCAAATATATCTTATATAGCAAAAAACTCCTTCATTTTTATTTTACTGAGTTTGAGTAAAATAAAATAAAAATGAAGGAGTTTTGGAGGGTTTTAGGGAACAGAGACAGGGAATACATATAGTCCTTGCCTTACGATCCGCAATTGTGACCAGAATTGCCTACGACATAACACAGTTGGCACATCTGTAAATCCAACTGCTATGCACGCAGTCCTGGACTTACAGTAATTCGCTTAATGGCCATTCCTAGTTAAAAAGGCCCTGAAAGAAAGCGACCATCCACCAGTCCTCGGACTTACAACAGTCACAAGAAAGGTCATAGAATGGGGTCAAAACTCACTTAACAACGGTCTCGCTTAGCCACAGAAATGTTGTGGTTCAGTTGTGGTCGTATGTTAAGGACCTGCTGTGGTTTCTTTTCAGATTAGCCTAGAATGGCCTTGTTGAGGTACGTTGAATTATAATGTGCGTGTGTGTTTTTTTAATTAGAGATATTTGTCTTTTAAGATTGCTTGGAGATATATGGCTTAGGTTTGCGTTTAGAAACCACAAGCCACATCTGAACCTCTGCATAACATTTGGCAGATCAGACTCGGAGTCTCCCTTCAACTCATTTGAATCTTGCGTAAAGCAGATTAATTTTCCCCCCTCTGCCTCATTGGTTCTAGGAACCTCCGTCTGCTCGGCTGCCAACATAAAAAACTTTTTAAAACTCCAAGCTAGGTGAGAATTTCCCATGAATGAATGGTCTGAGGGGCCAATTCTACACTGGGCTGCTCTTCTTTCAGTTCCGTCTGCTTTTTATTAAAAAAGAAAAAAGACCAAAGGTAAAAAAGAAAAAAAAAACTTGGGCCGTTTATTAAATGTTTACCCTCCTTTGGGTGCGAACATCACGGGGATATTTTAAAAATCTGAACGGGAAGAGGATTAAGCTGGAAGGCAAACACGGGTCTAATGTGGCATTTGACGAGCTAAGCTGCTCTTTTATACGGCTATTAAACAGAATCTTTCTCTCTCTCCCCCCCTCTCTTTCTCCTCTCTCTGTTTTCTGTCTTTCTCTTTCTTTCCTCTCTCTCCAACTCTCTTTCTCCTCTCTCTGTTATCTGTCTTTCTCTTTCTTTCCTCTCTCTCCAACTCTCTTTCTCCTCTCTCTGTTATCTGTCTTTCTCTTTCTTTCCTCTCTCTCCAACTCTCTTTCTCCTCTCTCTGTNAATAAGCCAGCAAGTAAATAAGTAAATAGTGTAAGTAAATAATAAGTAAACAAATAAAGTAAATAATTAAATAACTAAGTGAATGAATAAATGTTAAGTAAACAAATAAGCCAGCAAGTAAATAAGTAAATAGTGTAAGTAAATAATAAGTAAATAAATAAATAAGTAAATGATAAGTAAATAAATAAGTAAGTAAACAAATAAAGTAAGTAAATAATAAGTAAAGTAAATAATTAAATAACTAAGTGAATGAATAAATGTTAAGTAAACAAATAAGCCAGCAAGTAAATAAGTAAATAGTGTAAGTAAATAATAAGTAAATAAATAAATAAGTAAATGATAAGTAAATAAATAAGTAAGTAAACAAATAAAGTAAGTAAATAATAAGTAAAGTAAATAATTAAATAACTAAGTGAATGAATAAATGTTAAGTAAACAAATAAGCAAGCAAGTAAATAAATAGATAGTGTAAGTAAATAATAAGTAAATAAATAAGTAAATGATAAGTAAATAAATAAGTAAACACATAAAATAAATAATAAGTAGATAAAGTAAGTAAATAATAAGTAAATAAATAAAGTAAATAATTAAATAACTAAGTAAATGAATAAATGCTAAGTAAATGAATAAATGTTAAGTAAACAAATAAGCAAGCAAGCAAGTAAATAGTGTAAATAAATAATAAGTAAATAAATAAGTAAATGATAAGTAAATAAATAACTAAGTAAACACATAAAATAAATAATAAGTAGATAAAGTAAGTAAATAATAAGTAAATAAATAAAGTAAATAATTAAATAACTAAGTAAATGAATAAATGCTAAGTAAATGAATAAATGTTAAGTAAACAAATAAGCAAGCAAGCAAGTAAATAGTGTAAATAAATAATAAGTAAATAAATAAGTAAATGATAAGTCAATAAATAAGTGTCAATAAATAAATAAAAATGAACAAGTAAATAAATAAGTAAATATTCGGGAGTTCTCTCCGTGAGGGAAGACCGATTTGTGAGGGGAGGGTGGAACCCCCATTCCCGACTTCCATCTTTGTTCCCCTCCCCCGCCCTCCGCCGTCCCCACTGACCTGGCACGGCCACGCCGTACACCACCACATCCGCCATGCTGAGGATGCGGCTGAGGGTGCCCTCCACCTCCGTGGTGGAGACGTTCTCGCCCTTCCAGCGGAAAGTGTCGCCGGTGCGGTCGCGGAAGTAGAGGTAGCCCAGTTCGTCCATCACCAGGACGTCCCCTGAGGGAGAAGAGCACAAGGGTTGCGTGGAAAGTTCACAGCAGGCCCCCCCTTCTTTACGAACCGGGGGGGGGAGGTCCTCAGCTTACGGCCACAACGGAGCCCGACTGTTGCTAAGTGGGCCAGTTGTGAAGTGAGTCTTGCCCCATTTTACGACCTTTTTGCCGCCATTGTTAAGCAAATCGCTGCGGTGGTTAAGTCAAGTCACGTGGTTGTTAAGTGAATCCGGCTTCCCTTACTGACTTTGCTTTTCAGAAGGTCACAAAAGGGGATCACGTGACTCCCCTCCCTGGGACGCTGCTACCATCATAAATATGAGTCAGTTGCCGAGCATCTGAATTCTGATCGTGTGATACAAACGCCGTAAGTATGAAAAACGGCCTAAAGTCAATATTTTTCAGTGCCGCTGTAAAGTTGAACAGTCACTAAATGAATCATTGGAAGACAATTACAAAATTCTGCTTCACCCCATCAAGAAGAAGAGACTACAAGACAGTCACTTGTCTGAGATGGGATAGGTGCTCCTGCTTGACCAGGGGGCTGGACTAGAAGACCTCTAAGGTCCCTTCCAGCTTTGTTTTTTTTTCTTCCTTCCTTCCTTCCTTCCTTCCTTCCTTCCTTCCTTCCTTCCTTCCCTCCTTCCTTCCTTCCTT